TTTTGTTTGTTTCCCCAGTCCGGTCATTGTATTGTCTGTCTGCGTATTGTCTGCCTTACCTGTAATTAAACCCCGTATTCCCCGATATCCTGACGTCTGCGCCTTTGTCTCCGTTCCGTCCCCGCTGGGCACGACAATATTATAATTATATGTATGAATGGTTTATTATTAATTATGTCAAAATAATTAATAAGAAATCTTTATTTTTAAAATGTATTTTATTATTATATAATACTGTTACTGTCTATCATTGTCTAAATGTATTTTTACTAGTGCTGTCAAACGATAAAAATTTTTAATGAATCATAGGGTTGCTGTTGATTAATTTAGATTAATCACGATTAAACATCATTCATTTTTAATCTATATTAATCGCATTTCATTTTGCATGAGCAGACAAACTCAAGAAAAAAGAGAATATATATGCACCAAACATGTTTATTGAACATCTTGAACACGAGTCGGATGCATTATATCTGCCACAGAAGTGCAAAAAGCAAGATTTTTTGTTTAGCCGGACAACTTGTCGTATTTAAGGTACCTCAGTTTAAATGGTCCTTATCTTTGTTCACTTACAATTAGCCCGAACTACCGTAAATCCGACAAATAATCCGACTAATCATGAAATCCAATTCTAGCCCGGTTAATTGCCATTGTTAGCAATATCAGTTGATAACACATTACGCGCGGTGCTTTACGTATAAAACTCCATAGCAACACGTCCACAGATAAGTTGGACAGTATAGTGTGTGCGACCAATTTAATGTATAGAAGTATAAAACTACAACTTTCCCTTCTGTTGATAAAAGACGCAGCCATCTTGGACTCTGGATCCTCTGTCCTGCTCAGAGATATTTCTCGGATCTCCGAGAAACGGGAGCGCACATGCCGTCACTTCCAGCTTCAAAACTGGAATCCGACTCGGAATACGAGTTCCCAGGGCAAATGGAACGCACCAAAACTGCCCGAAATGGGTTGACAGACATTTCAGGGATTTTGAGTCATTCTGTGCTGCAGATGGGTTACTTAAAAATTTTAATCACGATGATGGATGTTAGTTTTGACAGCCCTAATTTTTACTGTCTAAATATATGTATTCAGCTAGTGTAAACATGCACGATGCTATCACAGCGAATGTGAGGCTGAGACTTAAACGTTACCCTTTGTTTCCGCTGAGAGACGTGCCGTGTGACTCATTTCCCCATGCGTGCAAGTTATCTTAGGTCGGTGTTCACGGTTCAACTTCTGAGATTCAGATCGAGTTCTAGGTAATTTTTTTTCAAAGTGGTTGGTTCAACCTTTAAGAAATTCGAGTTCTAATGAGTTCGAGAACTGAGGTACCACTGTATTTTAAAAGTTTAGTTTTACTCGGACTAACACAATTTGATTTTTTCTAACATCATGTAAATGTACTGATTGAAGGCACTAAAGCAATCTATTATTAAACAAACCCTTAAATTACTGCCCCTTGGAGATTATGCAACAGTCTTAAAGTCAAGGTACTCTTCCAGTGTATTTATTTATGTTATTGTGTTCTCTGAATATGACTTTATTGAGTAAACTAGAGTCAACCTACCAAAACTTAAACCATTTCGATAATAATTTCATTTACATATACTGATTTAATTAGAAGATCCAGTTCCTGTCTCCTGTGTTTTGTTCAGAACCATCTCCACCTGTGAGCTTAAAGGCAGAGGAAGTGAGGAGCACTTCAGTGACACTTTGCTGGCAGAGACCGACCGGCATGGAAGACCTCAGCTATCAGTACATCATCACCTACGGTTGCAATGGAGAGCAGCAAGAATCAGTGGAGTTGGAATCCAATGCCGATACAGTCACTCTGTGGGATCTGAAACCTGGAACAGAGTACAGCTTTATCATTGGTACAGTGCTTCAGACAGGAAGCCGAAGCAGAGAAAAGTCAATATGCGTGTCCACAAGTAGGTAAACTCACCAGGCTGGATTCTGCATGACTGGAAGTTGTATGTTTGTTCATTTGATATTCTCCACTTCAAATTAGCATAGCAGATTATTGGTTTGAGGTTTATAAGTAGAGTAGACAATGTGCCCTTTGTTCTTTATTTGTTTTACATTTCTCATAACTTTTTTTGTATCAAGGACTTTGGGAATAGGTTATTCTGGAATTTCTGCAAGGGAGGATCTAGAACGTTAGTGAGTTGTAGTCATGGTGTTCTGACATATTGTGGTTTTTATTCCAGCCAAGATTTTAATTTAACACATGGGCATATAACACTTTTATTTCATTTTAATACTTAACTCTTTTTGACTCTGTGTGTAGAAAAGGGTTGGGGCCATTCTGGAATGCATTGATCAATTCCAGTGCAAATCAGGAAATGGAACTGGACCTGGGATTGGGAAAAAAAACTACGGGGAACAGAATTGGAGTTGAATTTGATTTTCAGGGAGATTTAAGTTCCAACTCCAGTTCCATTTTCTGATTTGGACTGGAATTGATCAATGCATTCCGGAATGGCCCCAACCCTGGTGTAGAATTATGTTTTTCAGATTTTGTTTGTGTTTCATGATTTTTGAAAATTTTGTTCATTTCTTTTTTTTTATTACAGAAACATTACAGGGTGAGCTGATATATGACCTGGGACTGGAAAGTTACTTGCAGGAAAAACTTACCCTAAGTACTGTGCTGGAGATCACCAGTGAGACTGTAAACGATAAACTCGTCCAGTCCGTCAAATCTCTGCCGTGGTATTTTCTGAGGAAGCTCATGATGGTAAATGTGACTGCTAGGAGTGGGATGTGCACGAGCAATGAGGACACAGAGCTCCAGAGCCTGGACAGCTTTCTAGAGGATCTGGGAGACCTTCAGGGTCATAGCAATAGGCTCAACCCCCTCGATGTCATCACAGCTCTTTTCCTGTGTTCAGATGGTTTCCTTCAACAGGAAATGACCTTGAAGATGTCCATGTGCCAGTATGCTGTGCCTCTTCTGCTTCCCAATTCTGACGGACACCAGTGCATGTTGATGCTTTGGGCTATGAGGGACATTGTAAAGAAGTTCAGGCCACATTCCCTGAAGGATCCAAAAGGATTCATAGAGGACAGCATTGTGCTTTCAAAGCTGCCCATGGTATCTTTTGTCAGACTGGGCAGCAGTAGCTTGAGAAAGTCTCACATCTTGAACCAAGTTCTGAGCAACCCTCAGCAGTACCATGACACTTTTGTTCACGACAACATGGCATGTGGTGATACCAAAAGGAGGATTTCTAATGGCCTGGTGGAAATTAGCTGGTATCTGCCCTGTGGGAACGAAAACATTGACATCTTTCCTGAGCCTGTTGCTGTATCCAACTTGCGTGGAGACATAAGTTCCTTTTATACTGAATTTTTTTTCCTGTGTCAAACGTCTGCAGCAGTCTTTGTGTTCTGCGATGACTTTAATCATGGGTGTGAGATGCTCCATGAACAGCATATTAGGTCTCAGTTATTCTTAGTCAGCAATTCACAGGCCAGCAGCTTCAATGTGGCGAACTTTAAAGCACAGATATCCAAGCTCCAGCTTCAGCCAAAGAACATCCTCATGAAGCGCCCAGGAATGAATGACGCGGAATTTGTTAACAAGCTGCGAATGACTGTGAGTAAGCTACTGAAGGAAAATCCACTGAAAATGAATATTGTAGACATGTCAGCTACTGCACATGAGTTAGGAATCCCAGTAGATGAAGACTGCACCCAGTGTCAAAATGGAAAGAAGATGGCGGAGATGATGACATCAGGAATAACTGACATACCTGATTTCAAGGAAAAACAACTTCCTTTGCAAGGAGAAATCTGGAAAGAACTTACTAAACTAGAGAAGGAGCAATGCAGGCTGACCAAAGCTGGGGATAGAGACATAGAACCTGAGGAAGCAGCAGGTGGCTCTCGATATGTCTGCTGCTATGTCACATTTTATTTATGCAATTTCAAATTCCAGAGAGGACCGACCCTATTTCCTCAAATGGATGAGGATCAACTTGGACACCATATCACGTACAAACTTATCACACCTCCGAGAGAAGTATAAGGAAAAGTGCCTTAACTCTCCTGAAGATAAGGAGCTCATTGCTAAATTGGACAGGCAGATATCCAGCAGCTCTTTGGGGGTTGAACACTTTCTGCGAGAGATGGGCCAGCTGTACGAATCTGCCAGCTCTCTTCCTGAAAACGATCTGGCTCGACAACAGATGGAGAAGCTGCCGCGACTGTGTGCTGAACTGCTACTGGATGGTTTTCCACTGGAGCTAGTAGATGGGGATGCATCAAACATTCCCCTTCGGTGGGTGTCGGCTGTGATGAATAATTTAAACCATTTAACAGGCTCGAAAAGTAAGATCAGGGTGGTGACAGTGCTGGGGGTTCAAAGCACTGGGAAGTCCACTCTGCTGAACACCATGTTTGGAGTTCAGTTTGCTGTCAGCAGTGGCCGGTGTACGAGAGGTGCATTCATGCTGCTTATCAGGGTGAAGGAGGATTTCAGAAAGAAACTTGGATGTGACTATGTCATGATCATTGACACAGAAGGATTGAAATCGCCAGAGTTGGCCCAACTAGCTGAAAGTTATGAGCATGATAATGAGCTGGCCACTCTAGTGGTAGGCCTGAGTGACATTACAGTCATCAACATAGCCATGGAGAACTCAACAGAGATGAAAGATATCTTGCAGATTGTTGTTCATGCGTTTCTGCGCATGAAAGAAGTGGGGAAAAAACCTTGCTGCCAGTTTGTGCACCAGAACGTGGCAGATGTGTCAGCCCATGACAAAAACATCAGAGACAGGAAGCTTCTTCTGGAGCAGCTGAATGAGATGACCCAAACGGCAGCCAAAATGGAAAAGAGGGGAAGCAATAAAACATTTACAGACATCATGAAATACAACCCAGAAAAGAATAACTGGTACATCCCTGGACTCTGGCATGGTAACCCTCCCATGGCTCCGGTGAATGCAGGCTACAGTGAGTCTGTAAGCGACTTCAAAAAAAGCCTCATTACTTCCTTCAATGAGTGCCGGACCCCAACACACACATTTGCTGAATTCGTTGAATGGACCAAGAGTTTATGGAACGCAGTGAAGTACGAGAATTTCATCTTCAGCTTTCGCAACAGCCTTGTGGCTGATGCCTACTCTAAGCTTTGTATAGAGTTCAACAAGTGGGAGTGGGCGTTTAGGAAGCACATGTACTCATGGCTGTCACAAGCTGAGACTAAAGTGTCGAACTTTGGCAAAGTACAAACTGGGACTTCGCTCACTGCTGAGGATTTACTGAGCGAGCTGAAAACAGAGTTAGCTGAGGAGCTCACTCAGCAAGAGAAGATCATTTTGGACAACATTTCTGAATATTATAAAAGAAAAGAAAACCACATTTATTTGGTGGAGAAGTACAGAGAGGATTTTGTGAACTCTGCCAAAACCCTGACAAGAGAGACACAGAATTCTGTGAAAAACAAAATAGAGGCAGCGATGAAAATCAAAAAGGGCATGCTCAAGTTGGACACTGTCAGAAAGAAACACACAGACACCATGGAGCGGAAGGTTCTAGAACTGATTGACAGATGCAGGGAAATCAAAACTGAAATGTCACCTGAACAGCTTCTGTTGGAATTTGAAAAGATGTGGGACGACACTGTGAAAGAGCTTTCTTTTGCAGGCCTACAGAGACGGGATATTAGTCAAGACATTTTCCGTCAATTAAGGGCAAACTTGAATAGAAAGGGAAGTCATGTTCATGAAATGCTGTCCCAGGTTTGCTTGTATGACAGTAGTAAAGAAGCTTTTATAGTACAAAATGATGATGGTTTTTTAAAAAAAGCCTACAAACGTTTTTTTGGGGATGAGCAGAAGCGGAAGGCACAAGAATTGGCAGATCATATCATCTGGAAGAGTCAGGAGTTTATTAATGAAAAAGTGAAAATAAAAACAGATTACCATGACACTTACACCACGCAGTTGTTGCGTTTAATAGATGACTTGCTGGAGAAGGAAAGGGATCTGCAAACAAGCAAATTTGAGGTCTCTGTGAAGATACACATCTGTGGGTTTGCAGCAAGGGAATTCCAGGAAATGCATGATTGTTTTATTGGAGTAAATGACCCTCGGCGATGCTTGGAAGACTTCAAGGACCAGTACTACTCTGACTTTAAGGACCTGTGCTTCCAAAGAGACCAGTGTCATAAGAAGGCTGAAGAGTTTGCCACCTACTGCCTTGTTCCTGCCATCAAGGAATATGCTGCCAAGTCTGTAGGCCCAGATATTGTGGATGAAATGTTGACAGGAGAGAAATCGATGGACTTCAGCACCCGCTCCTTTTTCCAATTCTCTGTCCTCAAAGATCTGCTTTTGAAAAATGATTTTAAATATTTCCTTCAGTACACTCAACAGTATGAGAAGTTTGTGAAAGACTGGATTTTCCAGCAAATAGTGGAGCACTTCTCAAAAAATCACAACAGGCTTTGCAATATCATGGTTGGTCACCAAACCAAGATTATCAAGAAGATAAAAGAAACTGTTGGGGATGAAACGTCTGCCAGAGGTGGAAAGATTAGGAATATTTGCCAGTTCATTCAAGACATCTGCACAAAATTTGGAAAGGAACTTGTCATTCCCAAAACTGCCCTGGATAAATTTATGGCCTTAAACAATGCAGCTCCTGAGGAGTTTTCTAGATGCCTTATATCCATCATGGAGGAAATGGGAGAGAAGCTGAGGGCTGACATTGAACAGCAAATGGATGTGGAATCAGTACTGACAGACCTACCCTTCAAGCCTGAGAATGAGCTGTTCAGAAGGGTGTTTGGCTGTGGAAAGCTGTGTCCATTCTGCAAAACTCCCTGTGAGGCAGGAGGTAAGGATCACTCAGAGCACTTTGCATCCGTTCACCGACCTCAAGGTACTGGACAATACAGATCACTTCGATCTGAAAAACTAGTCACTAATGTGTGCTCATCCAACGTTGCCAGTGAAAGACGATTCCAGTGCCCAGAAACGTCATGGAATTTTCATCCATACAAAGATTACCGGAAGTTTTTCCCTGACTGGCGCATTCAGCCTGACACAAGCATTGAGGCCTCAGACTACTGGAAGTATGTCTTTGCTACATTTAATGATCAGTTTGCCAAAGAATTTGCTGCTAAACCTGCTGACGTGCCAGCAAGCTGGAAATTAATGCAGAAGAATAAAGCCTTGAAAAGTCTGGAAGAAGCATTTGGGCTGAAAAAGAATCTGATTTGATAGCTGGGAAATGGCATCAAAGCAAAATACAAATAATTAGTAACATGCATGGAAAAAGTTGTCCAACCACAAAATAAAAAAGACTACCATCTTTTTTGTACTTATATTGAAAAACAGAGCTCTTGCTGTGTCTAGTACATTATTCACCACTTTTGGGTTTGAATTTGTTGGGTTTGAACACAGCATTTTTTTTTTATCTAAACATGTAGTAATAATCAGAAGTTTATTGTAATGAGAGTTTAAGAGAATTCTTATGTTAGCAGCATAAATTTTACTGGCATGGTGTGTGACTCTGCGAGTTTGATCTCCGTGATCAGAAGGTTGCCGGTTCAGAACCTGTAGTTGGTAGAGTAGTCATCGAAATTTGGGCCTGAAGCCCCAACTGTTCCATGGGTGCTGGATCAATGCCTGACCTTGTGCTCCGACCCCCAGCTTTGCTCTTGCTTGTCTGTGTCTCAGAAGAGGATGATGTGATTTACACAGACTGACATTTCATCGCACTTGCTCCCTGTACAGTGACTCTAAAGGCATTCTGTTCTAAATGTTCTTGTGTTTCCATTTTCCTTCCTGTTTTCTCTCCAGAAATAATGATCTTTTTCAAGTCAAGACAACCATAGACAATGATCATAATGTCTGAATAGTCCTGTTAGGTTGTTTTTGTTTGAAATTGCACAGCTCTTGCTGTGATACTACTCACACCTGTCATTGAGTACTCATTGGAAGCTCAGCCTGACTGTATTTAAACCTAGTTGATTCCTTTAAATGTGTGTTTGTGATGCACTGCCTCACTTGTACGTCATCTGCTAAGTAAATGTATGTGAATGTTTAACAGCAGTTTTTCTTTGCATTAATAAAATAATATAAAAAAATATATGAGGTTTGACAATTGCATCTATGGATCCATTAATCCTCCAAGTACTACTCCAGCAGAGGGTCGCGGGGGCCTGGAGCCTCTCCCAGGTAGGGACAGGACACGGGGCTGGGGACACACTGAATGGGACGCCGGCCCATCGCAGGACGCGGGGCTGGGGACACACTGAACGGGAGGCAGGACACACACATACGCACTAGAGCTAATTCAGAGGCAGCAGTTCACCCAAACAAAGCTGTGCAGCACAGAGAGGCCATGCAGACCCCACACACATAGGGGTGGGGGTTGGATCCAAACCCAATCTTTAAACTCTTTGAGCTCCGCAGCGCTGATCTGCCCATCTCCATCTGCGTCGATCTGAGTTAAAGGGAATCAAGGGGACGTGTACTGAGGTTTAACAGAACGCAAAATGCCAAAGCTCTCTAATCTATGTCTGTTTGCTGCCTAGTGTCCCACAAATACAATGTATTTTTTCTTGGTAGAAACTGTAATCTTGCATGTGATGTAGATAATCTTGTATGTAAATTGCACACACACACACACACACATATACATACACACATACACACTACCTTTCAAAAACTTGGGACACTTAGAAATTTCCTTGTTTTCCATGAAAACAAACATCAAATGAGTTTGAATAGGAAATATAGCTAAATAAATAGGAGATAGTCATTGATAAAGTTAGAAATGATTATTTTTGAAATTAAATTAATAATTGTGTTCTTCAAGCTTTGCTTTTGTGAAAGAATGCTCCATTTGCAGAGATTACAGCATTCTAGATGTTAGTTTGCTGAGGTAATCTGATGAGCTGTTATACTATGTTATACTATGCTGTTATAATTATCTTGTTATCTCAGATAACAGCTTAAAAAACTATCCTAGAGTATTCCCAGAGTGTTGGTTAGTGTTTTGTAATTTTAGTGTATGTATTATCCCTAATTCTGTGCTAGTTAATTGTTCCACCTGTTGCTCATTGTCCTGCTCCTTTTCTGATTGGTTTATCTGATTATGATTTACACCTGGCCATTGTTTGTCCTGAGTTTCTGTGTCTATTTAAGAGCCTGTTCTGGGTTTGTTCTTTGATACTTTATTGTAGTTATATGTCTGGGTTTAGGCTGGTTGTTGTAGTGTGTTGTTTGCTTTGCTATCTAGTCCTGATTCCTGTGTTCTCTTAGTTTTCAAGTAATGTTTATTCCATGCTTTAGTTTTTTTTTTCCAGTTTTGTTGTGTTTAATGGTTTTTATTCATTATTTTGAATAATGAATAAGAACTGAAAAATGGACAGCAGTCACTGTAAATTTAGGGACATCTTCACAAATTTAAAGTTAAATGAAGCATAGGATCCACTTAATGTTTGGTGGTGGAGGAGCGGGAGAGGCAGGGTCATCGGGCTTGGCGGAAGGCGACTGAGGCTGGGAACGAGGCGGTAAGGCGACTGAGGCTGGGAACGAGGCGGCAAGGTGAACTCTATTGTCTATAAAACAAAGGAAAAAAAGCAAATTGGAAACGGAAATGGGAATTCAACTCAGAAGAATGACTGGAAAAGGGTTAATGAACATAAATGTTACCGCTGTGGGGGAAGACATTCGCCAAGAGATTGCAAATTTAAAAATCAGAAATGTCATGCCTGCTCAAAAACAGGACACATTGCAAGAACATGTAGAAACAAGAGCCGAACAGCTAAAACCCAGTTTGTGGAAACGGAGGATCAGACAGTGCTCAATGAAGATGACACTTTAGGAGTGTTTACGGCAGGGGTCTCCAACTCCGGTCCTGGAGAGCTACCGTCCAGTAGGTTTTCTATCCTACCCGGCTTCTGATGAGCCATAGCTGTTCTCAGGTAAATACCAGGAGCAGGTGTGGCTCATCAGAAGCCAAGTGGGACAGAAAACCTACTGGATAGTAGCTCTCCAGGACCGGAGTTGGAGACCCCTGCTTTACGGTGTATACTGCTTCCAGTGGGGACGGGAGCATCGTCGTTAATGTGAAGTTGGATAATGAAGACATTAGCATGCAGTTAGATACGGGGGCAGCAGTGTCCTTGGCGTATGAAGTTTTGTACCAGAGAAAATTCCCACACCTGCCCATAAAAGAGACTAACATTAAACTGAAGGCTTACTCTGGAGAAAACATTCCATTGCTTGGATACGTTTTGGCACCAGTGGAATATGGTGACCAGAAAGCAAGGTTACCTCTGGTAATAGTCAAAGGTGATAGACCAGCCCTGATGGGAAGAAACTGGCTTGAAAACTTTAAACTGGATTGGAGGAGCATTTTTACAGTTGATAATGAAGCAAATCAACGCGATCCAGAGTTACAAGCGGTGCTAAAGCGCCACCTAGTGGTCTTTTCCGAGAATGCAGGTGCTATAGAGGATTTGGAGGCAACAATAAGGATGCAACCAAGTGCACAGCCAATATTGGCGTGAGGGTGAAACTGGCAAAGTGTCAATTCTCGCAGAAAAGCGTAGAGTATTTGGCCTGTTGAATTATGGCCGTTTCCTGAAGAATTTATCCAGCATGCTGCAGCCATTACATGAACTGTTAAAATGGCAGGTCCTGCAGGCAGGCGGGCAGCCCGGCATTTCACTACAGCACAGGCTGTCAAACTTCCTGCTCATGTGCTGCTCCTCACTCCGTCACAGGTCGCACTCCAGCTGAGCTGTTTTTAAAGAGAGAGATTCGTACTCGGTTTAGCTTGTTACAAACCGTAACAAACCGTAGAACACTAGCAGGCCAAGCAGAAAATGTATCATGACAGGGAGAGACTCAAGTTGAGTGTTTCAAGAGATTTTCAAATAAAGACTTTAGTGTAATGTTTTTAGTACTGACTTTATCCATTTAGTTTAAGTTAATCATTTAGACGGCATCATTATTAAGATAACTTGTTAAACGATAAACAGACGAATTAATATTATTCAAAATTATAAGAAAGAATTAACAACTTAAATTTCTTCTTGCTTTAAATTTTCAAGAGATTCAAACCTGGCCATATTCTCGTCCAGTCTGCTGGATGACCTGCCTGAGGCAGCGACGTGGTTGGCTGGACCTGCCTGAGGCAGCNCTGCCTGAGGCAGCGACGTGGTTGGCTGGACCTGCCTGAGGCAGCGACGTGGTTGGTTGGACCTGCCTGAGGCAGCGACGTGGTTGGCTGGACCTGTCTGAGGCAGCGACGTGGTTGGCTGGACCTGCCTCATGACCACTTCTGTTCTTTGGCCTGTCTGTTGCCTTGTCCCTGGGGGTGCCTGTTCCCTCCGTGTTAACATATGGCCTCTCTGAACCTGAGCTGCATCTACGTTATCAGTTTAACAAATCATCTAAATGCTGTCTAAATGATTAACTTAAACTAAATGGATAAAGTCAGTACTAAAAACATTACACTAAAGTCTTTATCTGGAACTAGTTTATAATACCTGACACCCTGGAGACTACTCAATGTTTTTCAGACATTTTTTGTAAATCAATTCCCAAAGGGGCATTATATTGCAGATTTAAGTACTATAGAGCAGAATAGTTTAACTAACCCACAACATTCAAATAGCTACTGAAAGCATCGATACAAAATGTTACAACTACGTTAGTAATACTCAACGTAAGTGGTTGCATGACGAGGTGTAGTAATTATGTATGGTCTATGGAAACTGGTAACACATGATAACGTTACTTTACCGTATGGAGATGCCGAAGGTATTGCCTGCCTCAGCATCCCAATAACTTGTGTCGCTGCATTTTGTAACTGTATCTGTTTTATATTGATTGGGAAACAGGCAAGGGGGCCATGAGAATCGGTGAAATTATACTTATAACATAGATAAACCATACTTCATCCGCCAATAGCGTTCGCTGTCAGAAACGGCATGACTCCGCCCCCAAACTGTCAAACCCTCCCCCCGGCAGAACGCGAGCGCAGAAATTTCCCTCGAGCGCAGATCGCGGCCGAAGGATATTATGATGAACGCGCACGCAGCTCTTCGTCCTATGCTCGCGTGTTTCACTTTTGCGCTCGCGAGTGGCATATTTATGCGTGTGAGTTTTGACTTTAATGTGACGCCATACTCCGCACGTAACAGTGATATTGCAATATGTTTTCCATTAAAAGGTGAAATACAATTTTTTTAAGAAAATGGAATAAATATAGTTATCATCAATAGACATAGAGGTAGGCTACTGCCCCACACACTGCTCTCTGGCCGATAAATAATGTCACATATATGTGTTTAAAGGCAGAGGACACATTTCGTTGTTGTCCACTGTGTGCTCCGGTGTGTCAGCAATGACAACTGATCACTTCCACTGGCCCTCCTCCCGCATTTCTCCCATCAGGTTTGTGTAGTGAGTCTTATCCTGCTTGTTGATTTGCCATTGTCCTTTTAAGGATTGCGTAATAAAACAGCTTGTCTAACTCGAGATCCGCCCATCCTCTCTTGTTATGTCTTTGCGACAGCACCACAATAAATCTAAATCTGATCTTCCCGTTCATACCTGTCTGCCCACAAAATTTCATCAACATATATTCTGACACTATATTCTCCCTACCCAAGCGAAGCTGATAAAAGGTCCTTGTATATCTCATTCAGCCATTGCTTGCAGAAGGGAGTTTTGTTGCTGAGGAATGTGGTTGTACACCTTCCAATGCCAAGCGGGAAAAAAAATCTTCAGTTGGATTCAGAAAAGGTGAATATAGCCAGAAGTATTATATGGAGAAGGTTGAAGAAGCTTATATGGAGAAAATTTCGAATGGCAGTGTTTTGAAATGGAAAACAACTGACTTTATTGGATTCCCATGTCTTATGTAGAAACCTGGGCACAGTCTTTTGCAAAAAGTGCCCCAATGAATTGCACATCAGGTGCAAAGCAAAACATGTGTTTCGAGTTTTAAATTTTTGAGACTTGAGCTGAGGTTTTGCTCTCTGAGTTCCAGTTTCAATAATTGTGCTTTAAGTGTCATTTTGGTGTGTTAGCAATTGAAACTTTTTACAGTTTTTCTGAATTGCTAAA